GGGGGGGGGTGGGGCGGATTCTATAGAAGTGGTTAGGCCGAGACTACAAGAAGTTGTTTTTTGGTGCTCTCGGAGTCATTTAGTTAGCGGAAAGCGTTAAAGACAGCCCGCAGTAGACCGGGAAGGTTGCGGCGCGGAGATCAGCAGTGAGAGAGCTCGCCGGGACACTTTAAACTTCCACACGGCTCTGTGCAGGGAGTTTCTCCCTCTCCTCATGGTGGATGGCGATCGTCTCCCCCGGGGCATCCCGGATTGGGGGAGGGGGCCGTACAAAGTTAACAATGCGCAGCCTTTACTGCCCCTTCCTGGCTGTGTCATCATTATGCTGTTACGTTTCGCTGCTCCTCCTGGTTGTTTGACTGGGGGGGGCGTAGGATGGGTGTTGTCGTGTATCCCTCCCCCGTCTCTCGGTCGCAGATATGGGCGTGTAGAAGTTAACTTTACCAAGAGAAGCGGCGTGCACGTTAATCGCTGGCGTGCCCGCTTGTTGGCACCATGGCCTTTTTGTGTTTGGCGAAGCCCCGCACAGTATTAACACGGGCCCGGATGTATTCAATTGTTACACGTTTGTCGTCCCCTTGTTTGAATCAGTGGGTCGTTTCTATGCTGATTTTGCTTTCTGTATGGGAAGAATGTGTTCATGATTGAAATCTCAGCTATTGCTTGTTGGCTAAAGCTGGTCATACACTGCCCAAATCTCAGCATTGCTGACCTGGCCTAAATTCCTCTGGCACCACTAATGTTTAAAGTGACACTATTCTCAGGTGTTAAATCTTAAGGAAAACTATGAGGTGAGTGCTTTTCACCGACCTGTGACAATGATACTGTCACAGGTCGCTCAGTAGATCGGGAGGTGAGCGAACACATACCAGCGTTCTCTCACCTCTCGATCCTGTCACGGCTCTCTGCCGTTACAGGGGAGGCGCTGGATTCCCCCCTCCGATCCGCCAGCGCTGACTGGCGGAACGGGAGGGGGCGGGTACAGCTGTCTCTGCCTCTAGATAGGCAGAGCCAGCTGTCAGTCTGACAGCTGGGTGGATCCCGGCATAATTGTCGGGATCTGCTTCAGCTGCAGCGTCTCAGTATACAGCGAGATACTGAGCCTAGGGTGACGGGAGGACGCTAGTTTATGTCCTCCCGTTACCCTAAGGAGAACTATGGGGAAAAGCCTTAACCCCATAGTTCTCCTTTTTTAAGAATGCATTCAAGTACCATAACTATACTGTACTTAATTTGTGTATCACTGAGCTGTTGATCCTCAAATCATCTCTGAATTTGCGCTGACACTGTCCTTCCTTCTGGAGGTTGGCTACTTTTGTTCACCATGGTCCCTGTGTGTGTTGTAAAGTAGCCACTGCTACAAGCTCACTCCCGTGATGAACTCATTTTATGAGCCTGCCATCCAATACAGAAGATACAGCACAGCATTGTGCTGCATCTTCTTTATAGCTTCATTTGTGACAGCTGAAACAGGAAGCGCTGTGTATACAGCCCTCCTGTGTCACTGATCACAGTGTGGAGAACGAATGTTCTCTGCTAGCTACTATCCATCCTGAACTTCTTTGCCGTGGTCCCTTGTCCCCCAGAAGAGCAGGGGAGCCCAAAAACCATGGAGGGGTGACGTTCCTTTGGAGGAGAAGCCAGGGGGTTGGACAAGCAAGCTGCTATACAAGATCCGGGCGGATCACCTGTACAAGCAGCCCAAAGCTATTTTAAAAATTTAAAGCACGCTATGCATCAGGGGCATTTTCACGAGTACAAGTACAGTGGTACCTCGGTTAACGAACTTAATTAGTTCCACGATTCTGGTCGCAAACGGTGATCAGACCGCGATCTCGACTAGAGGAAGCCCCAACCATGTGTCAGAGCAGGGAAGATGGCTGCGGTTGTGTTTCGATGCAGAGTTCGTGAACGGAAGTAGAGCTGCAGCTAACGATTATTTTCAAAATCGATTAGTTAGCCGATTATTAAGTTCGATTTAATAGGATAAAAAATAAAATACATTTTAAAAATGGCTCCAGTGATGGACTACAAGTTTGTATTGAGATTGCAGTCCATCACAGGAGCAAGCTTGGAGCGGTGGAAGTATAAAAGAACAAAAAGTGTGGTGTGCAATATAGTGAAATGAAAAGTGTAAAATGATACAGCAATGAATGCAGAATGGTACCGGCTATAGAGGACTACAAATCCAAGCAATAGTACATGATAGCTGGCGGTATTCTGCATTGCGCTGTATATTGTATTGCTGGGCGTTGTAGTCCTCTATAGCGAGTGGTATTCTGCATTGCACCACTGTATAATGTACTATTGCTGAGATTTGTTGTACTCCTATAGCTGGTGGTATTGCGCTGTGTAATGTATTCCTTGATTTGTAGTCCTCTATACAGCGCAATGCAGAATACCACCAGCTATAGAGGAGCACCATGTGGGGGGGGGAGGGAAGTGCAGGCTTACGTGAGCAGTCTTCCAGCAACTTGTTTCTGAGATCGGGCCTGTCTATCGGCGGCTGTCATCCGCCCACACCTGCTCCTCCGCCCACACCTGCTCCTCCTTAGTTCTTCTCCCTGCGCCGATCGTGGATTTGGGCGGGCGGTGACCACAAGGCGGGGATGAGGTGCGGCGTGTGGAACGTGGATGCGGGCGGGCGGATCTGGCAGCGTCGAGCGTGAGGTAGGGAGGAGGTGTGGCGCGCAGCGTATATGGAGCCGTGAACAGGGCCAACCAATCAGAAGCCGATTAATCGTTGATTGAAAAAGTTGACAACTTTTTCAATTATAATCGATTCAATTATAATAAAATTATAATCGATTAGTTGTTGCAGCCCTAAATGGAAGCAAAATTATGCCGAACTTGTTCGCGAACAGAAGTGTTCATTAACCGAGGTACCACTGTACTCATGGAAATGCCGAAAGTATGACTAAGGGGGACAAACACAGTACAGAACACGGTGTGATTAGTGAGGGAGGACCATATGATCAGCAGGGAAATGGCATGTGCAGATGGTGTGATTTGGGGGACGGGGTGTGTCGGCGGCAGCATGTGCAGGGAAGGAGTACAGAAAGAATAAGGCCTGGTTTACACCTGCATGTCCTGGGAACGCACATTTGGGGTGCCAATATAAATGAATGGCACCGCAAGCGCCTTTTGCGTTTGTGCGGATTTCCGTAAACGCGCAGTGATCATGCACGACAACACATGAAACGCTGTATGTTCTCAGAACGCGCAAGTGTGAACCAGGCCTTGCCGTGAGCACGAGGGGAGTGTGGAGATGTCAGCAGATGTAATGTAGGTGGATAAATTAATATGGAATTCAGGAGCCAGTCTGTCCAATGCAGGAGTCAGAAGAATGCTTTTTAAAGGAGAACTATGGGGTTAAGTCTGTTCCCCATAGTTCTCGTTAGGGTAACGGGAGGACACAAACTAGCGTCCTCCTGTCACCCTTGGCTCAGTATACTGCGAACCGCATTGACAGGTGTTCATAGAATGCATCAAAAAATGTGCAGCATGCTTGCGGTGCCATGACTTAATGGCATCCCAAACACGACTGGAAAAACATGCATTTTTTTCCACACACATTGACGTGTGTTCAATGCATGGTGGGGGAAAAAAGCAGTACGTCTGTAGCAGAATCTATCAGATGAGCTACTTTCTACTTTGTCGTGCGTGTGGCACCCATTGAAATCAATGGGCAACGTATGGGGGGGGGGGGACATGTGAACAGGGACATGTTGGCTACCTTGTTTCTGGGATTTTCCTTCCATAATATAGGTGAGAGATGGCTATGACTACTTACACAGTGTGCAGATAAGGTATGTGACACGTGACTGGGAAAAGAACGTTAAAGGTGGGAGGGAAGAAAAAAATATTTTTAATTTTTACTGTGGTGACCAATTCCCCTTATGGTGACATCACAGGTGGGTCTGTTAGACCCCTGATGCCTCTGTCTGCCAGTCACAGACAGGGACAGAGGGTCTGCCCTCTGAGCCAGCTCAGCGCACCAGAAAACTGAAGCTCTGGACCTGGAAGTGCTCAGCTCATATTGCTATCAGCTCTCTGTTATATTTTACATGTATACTCGGTAGTGCAGCCTTAATTTTGCAGCCCATTCATACAATGGAAACAGCAGTGTTCCTGCAGAGTTCTCTCTGCTTAAAGGAGAACTATGAGGTGAGTGCTTTTCACTCACCTCATAGTTCTAGCCGACCTGTGGCAATGAGACTGTCACAGGTCGGCTCAGTAGATCGGGAGGCGAGCAAACACATAACGGCGTTCGCTCACCTCTCGATCCTGTCACAGCTCTCTGCCGTGACAGGGGAGGGGCTGGATTCCCCCCTCCGATCCGCCAGTGCTGACTGGCGGAACGGACTGGGGAGGAGGCGGGTACAGCTGGCTCTGCCTTTTTAGATAGGCAGAGCCAGCTGTCAGTCACGCAGCTGGGCAGATCCCGGCACAATTGTCGGGATCCGCTTCAGCTGCGGCGTCTCAGTATACCGTGAGGAACGTGTCTTCTCTGTTTCTGCGGGTAGTAATGCAGCACAGAGAATTGTAGGAGTTATTAGGTGGCCAAGCAACGAAGTTGCAAGGACACCTATTGTATCTGTTAAGATTATTATTATTCCGCCGCTGCTTTCAAATGCCTGTAACAAGTGCTCCGTTTGTCAAAACCTCATGAAACTTTGCACAATGGTAGAGCCCTATGCTCT